GGTCACCAACAATTCCTCTTACCCTGTACTTGGATGTCATTCCTCCGGTCCAGATGGAGTCTAATTTACACTAATGTTTATAGTAGCCATTACTCATTATTTGTAATAGCTAAAAAGTAGAAACAACCCAAACACCCATCAACCAATGGGATAAATAAAATGTGGTATGTACATACGATGGAATATTAATTGGCAACAGAAAGGAATGAAGTACTAATATATGCTACAATATAGATAAACCCTGAAAACATTAAGCTAAGTGAAAGAAGCCAGTTATGTAAAGACCAAATATTAATAACTCAATTTATATGAAATACCCAGAACAGACAAATCTATAGAGAAAGTAGATTAATGGTGGACAAGGGTGGATTGAAATGGGGAGTGACTGCTAAAGGGTATGGGGTTTCTTTTAGGGGTGAGGAAAATGTTCTAGAATTATGATAGTGGTGATGGCTGAAAAACTCTGCTGATATACTGAAAACTATTGGATCATACACTTTAAATGGGTGAATTGAATGGAATATGAATTATATCTCAATAAAGCTGTTACCAAATAAGGGGAGGGAAGAGGAGATGGTATCTATTCCCCTTTTCATTGAATCTGGCTGTTCTCATGACTTTCTTTCAACAATGGATTAAGGGGTGAGTGATGGTGTGCCAGCGCTAGGCCTACCCATCAAAAGCCTGGCAGTTCCACTTTTACCCTCTTGGAAGCTAGCTGTCCTATAAAACAGCTCAGGCTACACCACCCAGTGATGGGAGACTGTGTTGAGAGAAGCCTCATGGAAGCAAACCAAGACCCTGGTCATGTGAGTCAGGCCATCTTGAACATCCCAGACCCAGCCAGGCTGACAACTGAATTAAGTCACATGAGTGACTCCAGGAGAGTTCACTCAAAGCAAAAGAACCTCCCAGCCAACTGAGCGAATCATGAGAAATAATCATTGTTTTAAACCACTGAGTTTTGGGATGATATGTTATATAATAGTTAACTAAAACACAACCTTTCTGGGTCTCAGATTCCACCTCTGTAACATGGAACTGATACTACAGGGTTGTTTTGAAGGTTACCTGAGGCTAATACCAAGCACGGTGATCACGAAATGCTGTTGCTATAATTGCTATTTAAAACCACCCAGGAGATCCTTGGAGATCCTTGACAGAACCTATACGTCTTCTCTCTGGGAAGTCTTATTCCCACAACCACCTACTGCTTCCAATCACATTGTTTCCAAAAAGCTGATTTCCTAAGAAAAACAAAAGATGTTTCTTTGCTACAATTTCTGAAAAAATAAACTCTGGCCGGGCTCGGTGGCTCAGCCTGTGATCCCGCGCCTTTGGGAGGCTGAGGTGAGTGGATTGCCTGAGCCCGCGGGTTCGAGACCCACCTGGGCAGTGAGACCTCATCTCTACAATAAATCAAAAAATCAGCCGGGCGTGGTAGCGCGTGCCTGTAATTCCGGCTACCTGGAAGGCTGAGGCGGAAGGATCGCCGGAGCCCAGCAGGTCGAGGCTGCGGTGGCCAGGAGCGGCCACTGCACTCCAGTCTGGGCGACAGAGTGAGACTCCAACTCAAAAAAATAAAAAATAAAAAACATAAAAAAATAAACTCTGACTCATAAGCAGAGTACCAAAGCAGGTTCTTCTTATGTTAGCCAAGTACCCCGCCTACCTATCCATTCATCACACGTTTATTAAGCCCTTACTAATTACCAGACACTAATTAAGAATAAAGGAGCTCCTCTTTCCTCTGGGAAAAAAATTTTTTTCACCTGTGTAGCATTAACAGAATGAACTGAGTACCTGAACTTGAGTGGAGAGAGTATAGTAGCTGATAAATCTAAAATCATCTAGCTGGAGAGAAAAAGCTTAAATTTCCATACAGAGCTCAGATACACAGCATGAGAACACACAATTCTGACCGAGGACACCAGAAACAAGACCAACAGCAAGGAATAAACCCTTTAGAAAAAGAGCCTACACCCTCAAAGGATCCCAGTCACAGAACCTGGACTCTAGGTGAGAGAACTTGATCATCTGGCATCACCTGCTATGTCTGGATGCAAAATGGGTCCAGGCAGTTAATAATTCAGAAGCTAATGACAGAGAAAGAAATTCCTGGGTATATTCATAGGATGCTAAAAAGCTTTAAATTGCATTTGTGAAATCAATCATGATTGGTAAAAACAAAATAAGAGTTGTTTTTTTTTTTTTAAGTCAGAGTCTCACTCTATCACCCAGCCTGGAGTGCAGTGGCATACTCACAACCACCCCAGTGTCAACCTGCTGGGCTCAGGCGATCTTTCCGACTCAGCCTTCCAAGTAGCCGGAACTACCTGTGCACTACCATGCCCAGCTAATTTTTTGATATATTGTAGAGACGAGGTCTCACCAAATTGCCCAGGCTGGTCTCAAACCCCTGAACTCAGGCAATCTTCTCACCTCAGCCTAAAAGAGTCTTTTAATCTTAAAAAGAATTAAATTATTTTTCCTCAAAAAGGCTGACACCAATACTTAATTACATCAAAGGTAAGAAAGAGGACCAAATCTGTGAGCATTTTCTGCATGAAGGGACAAAATCCACAGAACCTAGTAAGCATTTATTCTAGACAAGCTCAACAAAGTCCTAAACTCACCAAATGCTAGTTAGAGAGTCAGTATAAACAAAACTAGCCTGGAAATGGACAGAAAGACCACAAGGGCTATGGGTGAAAGACATAACATTAGGCAGGCATTGAGCTGAGTCTACTGGATAACCCAAATGCTGGGTTGATTTTTTTTTCATTGATGTGTAACATAAAGTGCACAAGTCATAAGGTTACATCTTGAAGGATGTTTAAATCTAGATTAGGATACTGAATATACATAATCCCAAGAAAGTTTCCCTGTGTCCATCTTAATCAATAACCAACCCCACGCTAGCCCCCCAACTCCAGTCAGAAGTAACCACTATTTTGGTTGGTCTCTGTACCATAGATACTTTGTGTCTGTTTTTGAATTTCACATACATGGAAACATACAGTATGTGGTCTTTTCTGTCTGCTTTCTTTCATTCACCACAGGGTTACCTTGTTTTGAAGCCAAAAACCCAAAAGCTGAGATTTATTTTCAGGAAATGCTCCTCTGATGCTACAGGCCTGAAAGCCAACTACTCTGATTACACCAGTTATACTTCCTGAACCCTTCTAAGCATGCAGTAGCTCACACCTGTAATCTCAACACTTTGGGAGGCTGAGGACAGAGCCTCCTCCCTTAGGAGGATCACTTGAGGCCAGGAGTTCAAGACCAGCATGGGCAACATAGTGGGACCTCATCTTTACAAAAATAAAAAACTTAGCCAGGTGTGGTGGCATGCGCCTGAAGTCCCAGTTACTGGGGAGGCTGAGGTGAGAGGATCACTTGAGCCCAAGAGGTCAAGGTTGCAGTGAACCGGGATTGTGCCACTGTACTCCAGCCTGGGCAACAGAGTGAGACACTGTCTCAAAAAACAAACAAAAAGTGCTACAATCAGAACACAATCTTGGATTGTAAAACTTTCCTTCAAAATAAACTAAATTCTGGCCAGGCGTAGTGGCTCATACCTGTAATCTCAGCACTTTGAGAGGCTGAGGCAGGAGGACTGCTTGAGTCCAGGAGTTTGAGATCAGCCTAGACAATGCAGCAAGGCCTCATCTCTACCAAAAATAAAACTTTAGCTGGGCATGGTGATGTATGCCTGTAGTCCCAGCTACTCAGGAAGCTGAGGTGAAAGGATCACCTGAGCCTAGGTTGAAGTTGTGGTGAGCCGTGATTATGCCACTGCATCCAGCCTGGATGACAGAATGAGACACTTTGCCTGAAAAAAGCAAAAACAAAAGCAAAAAAACCTATATTCTCTCATGGCATCCACCTATTCCAAAGAATCTTCAAGTCCCAGAATAAAATTAACCATCAATTGTTATTACTTTTGATCAGTAAAGAGTTAAACTTTAGGAAAGTCAAAGGAAGCCTTCGCTCTAAATTCAGATGAATGTGATTCAGCTCAGAAAAGGCAGGAGAAGGATAATAGTACAGCAGTAAATTATAGGTAGCGAATCTGGGATGTGCCACTTCTAGCTGGGTGACATTGGGCAAGTCATTACTTTGCACCTCAATTACTTCACTATAAGATGGGAATAACCCCATAGGATTGTTGCGAGGATTAAATGTTAATGTATATAAAGTTCTTAGGAGACCACTTGGCACATAATGAGCACTCAGTAAGACTCAGCTATCTTAAAAAAGCTGAAAGAGCTATAAGAGAGCAGCTATTCCGCAAACCAAAGTCTATAAAATAGCAACCAAGACCTCTAGCACAGTGCTTCTCAAGATGTTTTGGTTTTGATTGATACTTTTTATAAAATGCAAGATTATATGTTTGAATGCCACAGCAATCTCAAATTGCTCTACAAGTTTCTAAATATTTACTCTCTTTTTGTATTTATCTCATCATAGTCCAATAACTTGCTCACTGCTCATCGACTGGCATTTGTCTGCAGACTGAACTTTGAGTAGCACTGTTCTTGCACTCAAAGCAGGTTAAATAGAACTATGAAAAAATGTAGTGAAGAAAACCAATCCCAGTAGCAGGGGCAAGAAGATGACTTGAGGGTCAACACACTGACAGACAAAATAACCCTAACAGGCTAAACCTGAAAAACAAAACTAGATGCCAGAGCAAGTACCCAACTGGTACTTCCCTCAGGCCCCAATCCTCTAGAGGGTGGCCCTCAGAAAACATGTTGACCAAGAAGTCTCATCAGCCCCAGAGGTATGAAAGAAACAGGCAGAGCTGACTTGGGCCTCCTGAGACATTCTCGGGAGTGAGAAGCCAACCTAAGCCACCATCAAGCTTTAGAGACATCAACCATCAGTCACAAAGGCCAGGCAGAGTTTCTTCTCTGTTAAAGAAAACATGCAAAGATCTCCCTTGGTGACATGGGACTGCACACATGCATACCCACATACTCACAGACACACACCTGTGGTTTTAGGAGGCTCCTGAGGTCCGCCCTGCCAGCCATACTGTGGGTATCCTTGGTAGGGGTACCCTTGAGGTGGTGGGTAGGGCCCCCCCATAGGTCCTGGACCCATTGGTTGTGGATAAGGTGGGTATGGGGCCGTTGGACCAGGGCCCGGATATGGTGGAGGGTTCTCTGGGTTCATCAGGCCCTGCAAAGTACACCTAAGAGACAAAAAGAATGAAAATTATTTGCATTTAATCTGTAAAAATCATTAGGAATAAAATTTCAATCCATGAGATCATTTACCAAATACCTTAAATGTCTTAAGCCTTTTGCAAATCTCTGGCTCTGCCCATTTTGTTTTCTTCTCATCATCACAACTGGCAATTATCTTATGTATTTATTTGCCTTTCTTCTGTTTCCCCCACTACACTAGACTGTAGGCTGTGACAGCAGGGATCAAGTCAGTTTAGGATCACCACCATGTCCCTAGAGTCTCACATAGTGCCTGGCACAAGACAGTCCTCTAAAAAATATGTTAAAGAAATAAAGTATTTTACTTTTTAAATTCTGAGATGTGCATAAATGTGGCTGGATAGCTTTAATAAAGCATAAAGCCTAACAAGTACTATGAGTCAGATCAGTGGAAGCCATTCCCCTACTATTACCTCCAACAAACAGGGTTGGGCCACAGTGGCATCTTCTAACAAGCAGCACTGCCAGCAAGTGACCAACCAATGGTTGTAACCACAGCCATTGCCCAGGGCATTGGGGTGAGCAGACTGCTCTCCCCAGACCCACTGCTCTGAGCAGCTGGGCAGAACTGTCTATAGGGAATGCAAACATCTCCTTTGACCATACAGTCTCCCAAGATTCTAGAGGGCTCACCAGGAACCCTCACTTGTGTTTATAGGCTCCTGTTATATATAGTGGTTTGCTTCTTTGAAGGAAGCCATGCTTACCAGCTCCCAAGTCTATTAATCATTCTCTTCACTGGGCTTGAAGTTTCGAGGGCCAACATTTTGTTTCCGTCATCTCTTTAACCTCCACAATGCCTGGCACAGTGACTTCCAGATTAAAAGCAAACAAACTATTGCTGAGGAATGCAAAGCATATCCTCTATGGATGACTCATACTGTTGCCTTGTACTGGTACCCACCTCCTATACTGAGATTCAATGTTTTGCCTACTTGAGTCTTCTCTAGTCCTCACTAATAGTAGCAAAGAGTCTCATACTCAAAATTTAATAATTTCTCTATTAATTCTTTTTCATAACATGCAATCAGTAAGTTCATAAGTGATTTTTTTATTTTTTTAAGTTAGAGTCTCACTCTGTCATCCAGACTGGAGTGCAGTGGCCTCTCCTGGCCACCACAGCCTTGACCTGCTGGGCTCCGGCGATCCTTCCGCCTCAGCCTTCCAAGTAGCTGGAACTACAGGCGCGCACTACCATGCCCAGCTAATTTTTGATTTGTTGTAGAGATGAGGTCTCACCAAGTTGCCCAGGCGGGTCTTGAACCCGCGGGCTCAGGCAATCCACTCACCTTGGCCTCCCAAAGCGCTGGGATTACAGGTTGAGCCACCGAGCCTGGCCCATAAGTGATTTATATGAAGGACAGAATAGTCATAAAGTAAGGTTCCTTAGAAAATCTGAATGAAAGTAACTGGATTTGCTGGTTGCCCAACCACATCCATATTCTCCCTACAATTCAGGTGCTTCAAGGAAAGCTCATTCCATCCCAGATCCAGAGTGAGCACAGTCTAAGTCAATGCAGTTCACCCTTTCCCCTTTTTCTTTATCACAACTGATTCAAGGAATCCAGGACTAAGCCAAAAGCAAATAGCATCCCCTGGCCACTGGGACTGGTTCTGAAGTGGTTCAATCAGTAAAAAGTTGACTCTCATAACACACTCCACCCAGCCTTCCCTTTGCCTTAACACAGGCACACACAAAGTTTAGGAAACACACGGCCTACAAAATTGCTGACAGCCCTAAGAAACAGTCAGCTTTAAGGCAAAGTGGGCACTTCAGAAAGGCAGAGCAGAAAAAAGGAAAGAAATGGAATTCTGAAAGATTTTATAACAGTTCATAAATCAAAGACTGAAGCCCAGTCTACAAAAACTATAGAATTTCCAGTCCTGGAAACAAGTGGCAAGGTACGTTAATGATTCCTTCTGGGTGATATTCACAAACATATATTTATGAATGCTGACTCAGTGCCTAACACTGGTCTAAGTAGTGGGGTTATGGAGATCAACATGGTTCAAACCAGGCAAAGGCTGGAGGATTGGTTGAGCCCAGGAATTTGAGACCAGCCTGGGCAACATAGCAAGACCTCATCTTTACATAGTGGACCTTGAACATCCAACATAATACTATAAGAAAATGACTGACAGTGATGGGAAACTATGGGGGGAAGGGAGATGGGATTAACGGTAGTAAATATCTGTCTGGGGACGGGGAGACACCTCTTATCAACAAGGGTGCCTGAACGAAGCATACTGGTATACCTAACCCTTAACTGTACCTCACAATATCATAAAAAATATTGATTATAAAAAAATAAAAATAAAACAAAAACTATAAATATAAATATATTTTAAAAAGTAGCCAGGCCTATAACTCAAATAAAATAAATAAAAAGAAAAGGCGGTAAACAACAGCTAGGTAGGAGTAGGGGCTTAAACCCATTAGAAGGAGGTGGGGGTGAAGACAGTTCCCTTGAAAGGGGATTATAAATTGAAACTTTATAATATGGAATCAGGATGGCTTGACGATCTCTATTTCAACAACATCTGCGTTCTGTTCTCCATTTTAGAGACCCTCCTATTTTCCCAGGGCTTGAAAGGGACTCAGAAAAGAATTAGGGTTCTTTCCTTCTGTTCTCTATGTCAATTGGCAACAAACATCCTAGCCTGGGAATGCCTTTCCCCTTACCCTAATTGACCTTAGTAACACTATAATCATCACATGAATTTGACATATGTAAATGAATTTCATTTTTTCTCTCCTACCAAGAGAACTGTGGAAAACCTAGTGAACTCAGGTTAATACAAAAATCAGCCTCATTAACCCCCATAGAGTCATTCCGTTATTTATTTTTAAATCGCAAAAGTGGAACACAGTCATCATAACTACTCTCCTGAAATTCAGTGTGTGTGACCCAATTTCATTAAAACCGTACTTTAACTCAATCAGTCCAACAAGACTGTATAGTAATGATCATTCTCATTAGTCTGGACCTATTTTCTCTGAAGCAAAGTCTGGACCTATATTTCTTTTTTTTTTTTTTGATTGGAGTCTCACTCTGTAGCCCAGACTGGAGTGCAGTGGCCGCTCCCGGCCACCGCAGCCTCGACCCACTGGGCTCTGGTGATCCTTCCGCCTCAGCCTTCTAAGTAGCTGGAATTACAGGCACGCGCTACCACGCCCGGCTGATTTTTTTTTTTTGATTTATTGTAGAGATGAGGTCTCGCTGCCCAGGCGGGTCTCGAACCCGCGGGCTCACGTAATCCACTCACCTCAGCCTCCCAAAGGCGCGGGATTACAGGCTGAGCCACCGAGCCCAGCTTGGACCTATATTTCTAAGAACGATGGGCAGTGAGGAGAAAAAAGATCAAAGAGTACAGGAGCTCTAAAACTTCAGACTCAATATTTCATCGACTGGATGCAGATCGCAATACTCTGGGAGGCTGAGGCAAGAGGATCACTTGAAGTCCGGAGTTCAAAACCAGTCTGGGCAACATAGTGACACCCTCATCTCTACAAAAAAACATTTTTTAAAAAATTAGCCAGGCATGGTGGCCTGCACCTATAGTCCCAGCTACTTGGAAGGCTGAGGCAGAAGGATTCCTTGAGTCTGGGGATTTCAGGCTGCAGTGAGCTATGACACACCACTGCACTCTAGCTTAGAAGAAAGAGCTAGACCCGGTCTTATACCCCCACCCCCAAAAAAATATAGGAAGGAAAAGTTCTATGATTTCTTGATACTTCTGTTTGCATCTATTCATTATCCTGTGCAGTTCTCTCCCTGAGACCCTAAAAAGTCTCTTCCAGGCATACATGTTCTCCCCACTTATCCCTCACTCATGTCTCCCCCTCATTTTGGGGATGTACCTCTCTTCCTCTTTTGGAGGAATCACGTAAGGTCTTGGTGGGGAAAATCCCATGTGCTATTTGTAGAGGCACTTGTACAAAATATAAACCACAAAGGTACTCCAGTTACCATGACCTCCGCCCCTTCCACACATATTATCTCTCCCTATGTTCCCAAGACAGTCATCTTAGAGAAATAAAGATTTGGGTCCATTTTCAATTTCCTCTAGGCAAGAAAAAAATCCCAGTGAGAGAACAGCAAAAGTCACAGAAAGAGCATCTGTGCTGGATCAAAGATCCTAGAGCTGGGCATTTGAAAAGCAGGACTTCACCCAGCAGGAGTCAACTGTTCCCAAGCTGGTAAGGAAGCAAATCAAAGTAAGAAAGATGATCCAACACTGACACAGTCTAGTACAAGCCATTTAACATAACCAAAACACAAATGAGCTTTAAATTTAAGTTATGATACTGAACTTTGTAATAGCACTGCTTCCCTTATAAATTTGATCAGGTAAAATGTAAACTGTACTATAGTGGAGTGTGACAAAAAGGAGTAAATGTAAACAGCGTAAACTGTAGTATTAAAGACAAGTCAGAGCTCTGAAAGGGACAGCTCAAATAGTGCAGCAGCCAAGATCCATTAACAGACTGTACTGAACACTGCTATCCTACGAACCCATTCAAGACATGCTCCAAGTCACAAGATTAGCTGTCATTCAACCACACAATGAGAAGGGGCGGCAACTATTCTTTGGGAAAGTGGTTAATGGAGATACAACACCATAAAAGACCTCATCAAAATAGAGATGCAGAAAAAGAAAATCTTTTTCAAAAGTTATTATTTTTTAAATTACAAGACACCTGGTAGCCAAACTGGCACTGACACTGCAGATTGTACAGTGGAAAATTTTCCTCTGGAAAAACTGAATAGTCCCAATGGAAAAAAATGACAGATACTAATACTTGAGGGAACACCAAAGAAATTACTCACCCAATCACAGCACTGTTAAGCCCATACAAACAGAATTTCTAATGGACTTTTTATTGCTTCATACATAAATGAATGGATAAAGATTATCAGACATTGGAGGAAAGTCTCTAACATAAAAGACAGAAATGAAACAA